TAAGCCACATCAGCCTTTTAGGTGATGTGGCATCCTCAAGGTAAAAACTGAAACTTTTAAAATTTGTCAAGGTAACAATTGGAACTTTTTTTGGCAGGGGGGTTTTTCAAATACACCCCATATGTCAGGGGTGAAAATAGGTATTAACCCAATATTTTATTGTGTGATTTATGTGATTTGCATGCTACTCTATCATTAGGGCATAAAAAATATTTTATCACTTTCATAGATGATGCGTCTAGATTCTGCTATGTTTATTTGTTGCACGCTAAGGATGAAGCCTTAGATAAATTTAAAATCTATAAAACTGAAGTTGAAGTGCAACAGAATGTGCTGATTAAAACATTACGTACAGATAGAGGTGGTGAATATTATGATCCTATGTTTTTCCAGTCCGTAGGAATCATTCATGAAACTACGACACCTTATACACCTCAACAAAATGGTGTGGTTGAAAGGAAAAATAGAGTTCTTAAAGAAATGGTGAACGCCATGTTATCCTACTCTGGTCTGAGTGAAGGGTTTTGGGGAGAAGCTATGTTAACGGCTTGCTATTTGTTAAATAGGGTTCCTAATAAAAGAAACAAGACTACCCCATATGAACTTTGGTATAAGAAACGACCCAACTTAACATTTCTACGTGTTTGGGGTTGTAGGGCCGTGGTTAGACTCCCGGACCCAAAAAGGAAAACTTTGGGTGAAAAGGGTATAGCTTGCATATTTGTTGGATATGATGAGCACTCCAAGGCCTATAGGTTTTATGTTATAGAGCCTAATGACTCGATTTCTATTAACACGATAATAGAATCGAGAGATGTCATATTTAATGAGAATTGTTTCTCTTCTATACCTAGACCAAAGATTTCTATACCTAATTCAGATGAATCTCTAAGGGATGATCATTCAAATGATGTGCCAAGTGAGACACTTGAACCTCGTTGGAGCAAAAGAGCTAGAAAATCTAGAACTTATGGATCTGATTTTCAATTATATTTGGTTGAGGGATCAAAGGATCAGATTGATACTCAATACTATTATTGATATAGTATAGAGGAGGATCCAAGAACATATGATGAAGCTGTGAAATCTCGAGACTCTGGTTTTTGGAAAGAAGCAATTGATGAAGAGATTGGTTCTATCATGGAAAATAATACTTGGGTATTGTCTGATTTACCACCAGGTTGCAAACCATTGGGTTGCAAATGGATCTTCAAAAAGAAGATGAAAGTCGATGGTACAATTGACAAGTTTAAAGCTAGATTAGTTATCCAAGGCTTCAGACAAAAGGAAGGGATCGATTATTTTGATACCTATGCTCCAGTTGCCCGTATCACTACTATTAGATTGTTGATTGCCTTGGCGGCTATTCATAATCTAGTGATTCATCAAATGGATGTCAAAACAGCATTTCTGAATGGTGATTTGGAAGAAGAAGTGTATATGAAGCAACCTGAAGGATTTGTAATGCCTGGTAATGAGCATAAAGTGTGTAAGCTAGTTAAGTCGTTGTATGGGCTGAAACAAGCTCTGAAGCAGTGGCATCAAAAGTTTGATGAGGTTGTTTTGTCTAATGGTTTCATTCTAAACCAAGCTGACAAATGTGTATATAGCAAATTTGATACATCCGGTAAAGGAGTTTTCATTTGTCTGTATGTTGATGACATGTTGATCTTTGGCACCGACCAAAATCAAATTGATAAAACGAAGAACTTTCTGTCATCAAAGTTCTCCATGAAGGATATGGGAGAAGCGGACGTTATTCTTGGTATTAAGATTAAACGGGAGAATAAGGGGATTGTAATTACTCAATCCCATTACATTGAGAAAAATACTCAAGAAGTTCAATTATGAAAGTTGTTCTCCAGTAAGTACTCCCATGGATTCGGGAGAAAAACTCATGCCAAATACAGGTAAACCTGTGGATCAACTTGAATACTCAAGAGCTATAGGCTCTTTGATGTATGCTATGATTAGCACTAGACCGGATATTGCTTATGCGGTTGGAAAGTTGAGCAGATTTACTAGTAATCCTAGTAGACACCATTGGCATGCGATAACTAGGGTATTTAAGTACTTGAAGGGTACTATGAATTATGGATTGTCATATATGGGATTTCCTTCGGTGTTAGAAGGTTATTCAGATGCTAGTTGGATAAATAATGCTGAAGATTCATCCTCTACAAGTGGATGGGTGTTCTTGCTTGGGGGAGGTGCCATTTCATGGGCTTCCAAGAAGCAAACATGTATAACTAGTTCCACAATGGAATCTGAGTTTGTGGCATTAGCTGCTGCTGGTAAAGAAGAAGAATGGCTAATGAACTTGGTATATGAGATTCCGATGTGGCCTAAACCAATATCACCAATTTCTATCCGTTGTGATAGTACTACCACACTGGCTAAAGCTTATAGTCAAATATACAATGGGAAGTCTAGACATTTGGGTGTGAGACATAGTATGATTAGGGAATTAATCATGAATGGGGTGATATCTATTGATTTTGTTCGGTCGCAACAAAACTTAGCTGACCACTTGACGAAGGGGTTAGCTAGAGACTTAGTGAAGAAGTCGGTAATTGGGATGGGATTAAAGTCCATTTAAATATATTATCTATGGTATACCCAATTCCCTTCTAATACAACGTTAGAAGCAAAATTCAATGTGGAAAGATCATAGTCAGAGATTGGAGCAATCGTGTTTATCTTCCCAAGGTATGTGCTCAGACCTGCAAGTAATGGCTAGTTTGAAGTATATCTTCTTAATGGTTCTCTTTGAAAAATTGCAAATGCAGGTGCAAGATTAAAAGGATCACCTATGTGAGCATGAAGTTTTGCCGCTTCAAGAAGCTTGGAATTGGCTTCCTATATGCTTATTAATGGATAAGGACACATGGCTTGTAAAAGTGTCAAGAATGAATAGTAGAGTATTGTAAGAAACATATGTGTATTGTATCTTCAGATATTCAAATGGATTGACGGGTTCAATCTTTATGACACCCCGATTTTCGAGTATTTGGAATGTGTATTTGTACTAAGATGAAAATTCAATTGCAAGACATTTTCGTTTATGCATTTGTTTGATCGTTTTACCTGTAGGTTATACCCTTGTATATATTTGTATGTACTGAGTAAATCAAGGATTACACTAAAATGGGGGGGATTTGTTGGTGATTTTAGTATCACCAATGTATTTTAGTAGTAATGTGATTTACTAAAGGCCGATGCAATTATGTGTTAAGTTCGGAAACGAGTTAGGGAAGTGCAGAGTGCACACTCGTCGAGCCAATGCATAATTGAATATGAATAATTGAAACGGGGTTCCAAGGGGCGAAGCCCCTGACGGGGTACGGGGCAGCGCCCCGTTGGGGTTCCAAGGGGCGAAGCCCCTGGCGGGGTGCAGGGCAGCGCCCCGTTGGGGTCCAAGGGGCGGAGCCCCTAACCGGGGTCAGTGGGTGGGGTGCGGGGTAGCGCCCCGTTTGAAATTTTTTTAATCCTTTTCCCCAAACGACATAATCGTTTTTCGAACAGGTGTGTCTTTTCGGTTTCAGTTATTGATCTCCAATATAAGGAGTCATTTGGCCTCGGTTTCAGATACGAAAAATAATACTTTCTCTCTACATTTGTAATCCGTTTTCTTTTGCCAGAAACAGATTGTTCTTCAAGAATTATCCCCACAAAGATTTCGTGAACCCAAGCAAGAATAGGGTCGAAATACTTTGTTCGGAAAGTGTACGAACACGATTCTTCGAAGTTATCCAGGATTATCATACCCAAATCTCTAACATAAATTCCGCTGCTTATCAATAAAAAGTTGTTTGATTTTAAAGAATAAATCAGGCTGTTATCGGTTCATCCGAATTAAGTGTTATGTATCTATTTTATATGAGATTAAATAAAGTGATGATTTAAAGTTGTGAATGTAGCATCCCGTTTATGTTGAACTCTGATTTTTATTATAATCCGTCGAGTAGAATTGGGGTGTTACATAGGATGGCAGAAGGAAATACGTTTGCAGTGGCGTCAGTGTGCTATCCATGTCGGCGAAGATTGATTGAAAGAGATAAGAGAAAGGGTATGTTGTGCACTGTTGTGGAATTTGAAGGAGGGGGAGAAGAGCTTTTGAGAAAAAGCTGAATAGTCATAAAAATTGAACCCTAATTTTCCCTAAAAAAACTTCATGATTTTCCTTTATTTTCATTATTTTTAACTATGTTTTCTGATATGTAACATATGTTAACAAGTGGTAAAGATTTAGTCTAATAAGCTAATATCGTTTTTAAATATGTTATGATATTGATATTTATTATAATTGATTTGTTGAGATATTGAAAACCAGAGATTATGCGTTAGAACCATTGGCAAGAGTAATAATGTGAGATATTTTAGAAGTTGATAAATTAGAGATAAGAGACAAATTACCAGCTACACGATTAAAATCAACATAATCTAAAATCCATGATCTCGTACAAATGAGATAGACAAGTCATATAATTACCAAAATAAACTAGAGTGTATGGAGATGAAACATGTTGTACATTCATCAAGCTACTAACCAAAATTATCGTTGAATGATATCAAAAGACAAATTAGCAGCAACCAAGATAAAACACAACTGAAGTGGTTGGTTATAGTGACCAGAGAATGGCCAAAAAGTATGAAGCGCGACAAAAATAGTGAATAAAAGATCATAATGTAAGATGAACTCCCAAACCATCACATACTCCAAAGAGAAACATAAGTAATAACGGGTATAATGTCTCACAACACCATTTATCAACAACCACATAAACCATGTCTTGATTTTTCCTTATGAAAAGGGAAGAAAATGAGAATATTATAACATTGCGATATCCTTATATGATTTTACATCATAATGTGATATCGAGAAATTGTTGCAGAAGAGTTCACCTGATTCTTTGGAGACACACTTGTTCTCCTTTGAATTACATACGAGAAAACAAAAGATTTTGCTAGCCTTTCAAGTATTAACCTTTTAAAACGAGATGCCTAGATATTGGTCCAACATCTTATCTCTAGCTTATAGTAATTCATTAAGGTTACTTTCCTAGACATTAAAGCTAAGAGTTCAAGGGGCTCTGTGTTTTTATTTTATATTACATTTTGACATGTCAGTCATTCAAGTATTATTCTTTGTCTTTCCATTTGTACACAGGAAAAATTTATTATTGATATAAATTTTTTTATATAAGAAAAATGGTATATATGATCCAAATATTTTTGATCCAAAAATGGTATACGGGAAAAAAATATATTATTGATCTAAATATTTTTATATAAGAAAACTTTATTTTGATCCTGATATTTTTGTAAACGATACCTAAAAAAAATTAATATTTGTATTTGAAAAAAATCTATTATTGATTCAAATATTTCTATATACTAAAAATGATATTTATGATCCAAAAATGATATACGGTAAGGGCGATTTTATAGCCCAGCGAACCCAGGCTCAACCCCTACTTTCTTTGTATTCCCTTAATCTAATAGGCAATTTTTAGACAAAATCAGGGGCAAAATTAGTAAAAACAGGGGCAAAATTATCACACTTTATGATTATTTATATATTATGTTACATGTAACTTGCTGTTAATTTTTTTGCTCAGGCTCCCTAAAATTCTTGGCTCCGCCACTGATATACGAAGAAAAATATATTTTTAATTTAAATATTTTTATATACCAAAATTAACTATTGATCCATATATAATTGTAAATGGCACCTAAACAAAAATAAAATTTGTATATGGAAAAAAATCTATTATTGATCTAAATATTTTTATATACGAAAAATAGTATATGTTCCAAATATTTTTGACTCAAAAATGATATACGGGAAAAAATCTATTATTAATCTAAATATTTTTATATATGAAAAATGACATTCATGATCCAAATATTTTTATTTAAAAATGGTATAACTAAAAAAATCTATTATTGATCTAAACATTTTTACATACGAAAATTTACTATTGATTCAAATAATTTTTTTAAACGATACCTAAACAAAAATTATATTGGTATAATTTTTTTTATTATTGATCTAAATATTTTTATATTCGAAAAATAGTAGTTATAATTCAAATATAGTATACGGGAAAAATATATTATTGATCTAAATATTTTTATATACAAAAAAATTTATTATTTAAATATTTATTTTAACCTTCTATTTAAAATAAATATATTAGGTAAACAAATGGGCATAACAAACTAGAACCGAACCGTGCGACATTAATATAAAACGAGACAAGTGAAACTATTGAGATAAACACTAAAAAAAAGTGTATATGAGAAAAATATATTATTAATATTTTTATAAACAATGTCTAAACAAAAATAATATTTATATACGGAAAAAAGTCTATTGTTGATCTAAATATTTTTATATACGAAAATGTGTATTTTATAATTTAAATATAAAATAAACATATATCACTTATAAATTAATAAAATATATTATACAATTTAATTTTTTTTGCTAAATTTATCTATAATTATTTTTCTACTGAATCATTATATAATATATTATATAATATAATATAATAAAAACACTAGTTGAAAGAAGAGAAAGAGTACCTGAGTAATTTATTTCAAACTTGATATAATTAGTCAACATAAAATATAATAGCTATACGACGCCGTCTAGGGGAGTAGGTTTGAACGACACTTTAGGCTTATAAAACGGCAGTTATACATCAATTCAAGAACGGCGCCCCAAAGCCCAAACCCTAAATCTCCTCTCAACCATTATTTATACTCTTGGATTCTCGCAGAGCAAACACACTCATAGCACCGTAGCTCTCAGATTTCTTTCCGTTCCTAGTTTTTACATCATTATTTTCTCTCAGATTTCGTTTCATTTCAATTTTAACCTCTTTTCTCTTATATTTTGCTTCGTTTTGATGTGAAAAGTAATTGGCATATGATGATTAAAATAAACGCTTATTGATATACTGATATAACAATTGTTGACTAATTACTTATCTGATGCCATTTTTTTCTTTCTGTTTTTATTTGTTTAGATCTCGCTTTTCTTTGTTAGGGTTTGCAAATGATTTTAAAAATTATTTATGCTTAACACTGATTTTAATCTGTGAAGATTAAAACTCCGCTTATTATCTGATGCAACCCTATCTTAGCTTTTTTCTTTATCATTGTTAATTTATATTATTTCAATTTTCTGTTCAATTAATTGTGATTGATGAATCTATGATGACGAAAAGCAGACGGGCGGACTGAACTGATGCCTTGTTGATTGTCTGCCACTTCCAGCAATGGAATGCCACTGAGATTCATATCAATTGCAGAGTTGTTAATTTTTTCTATTGTATTTTTATGTATTGAATCTGCTGTGATGATTTTGCATCAATATGTCTGGACATATGAATATCTTATATTGATTATTTGCTAATTTCTGAGCAGTGTACTGTATCTCTGTTTACATTTATCTTGTTAGTTCGCTTGCTTTTAGATTTTCAATTCAATTGGCCAAATGATGAATCTTCAAAATATTGATTACTCAAACAATGTTTTGAGCGCATGAATATTTTATTTTGAATAGGAAGATCTGATGCCAAGAATTTTAACTTATTATTTCTTTTTCTTTACAGTGAACTTTAACATACTTTAGTAATTGATAAATTTTAAATGTGGCCTATGATGCATACTTAATTATGGTTCAGAAATGCATTTGCATTTGATGAAAATTCTGTACTAGGACGGTCTGAGGCTATCAAAATTCATTCAAATGAAAAGAACTTTATTGCATTGTAAATTGTTTGAAAAAATAACTACATGTATGATGAGAGTATAAATTAACAGTTATCCCTGTCTGATTCTGCAGTGCAGGTGCTGAAAATTTGTTATCTGACATCTAAGTTTTTTGAAATATTTAGGACTGATTGTTCTATGTAAGTTTTGATGTAGGTATATTATTTTTTCCGTTATCAGATCCTAACTATATTTAATCATAAGTTTATTAGTATCCATCTTTTCATTTTGTTTTCAAAGTTTTTAAATTTACCAAGTGATGTGGTGGTAAATTACCCCAACCATGATGCGGACCGTACAGCCAAATCGCTTTTGGGGAAATTTTGGTTTCTGATGGTAATTTATTTGAAATTAGGTAAAATTATTCGGATACATAATTGTTTATATAAAAACAAATAACATTTTGTAACTTTACAAATTTTTTGTTTCACCAATCCTTCTTTATTACCATAACTACAGGTTATATATTGTACAGGTTAATTGAAAAATTCAAATTAGTACTGCGAAAATTATGCCATGACTTATCTGGTATTACTTAGTTATATAATTTACAAATTCTTATTTTGTTGAACCACTTTCGCTGTCATAATTTCATATTTCAGCCATGGCTGTATAATCTGGTAGATTCTAGCCTGGTTTTTAAAATAAAAATTATGATGGGGTAATCTTTGAAGCAATTCTGCTGCCATGTGCAAGTATTGAAGTATCGATATGTTACAGTCATTGTGGGATAACATGCTGCAGAAACAGAAGTTTTACATCAAGTGAATGTTTATAAAGCCACGCCTAGAGCAACCTGCTGCAGAAACAGAAGTTTTACGACACGTGAATGTTAGAGCAACGTTTCTTTTCTTGGGAGAATGGGTCCAGGAATTTTAGTTGGTTTAAATGAGGTATAGGGGTTAAGGTTGTGCAAAGATGGCTATCTTTGAAGCAATTCTGCTGCCATGTGTAAGTATTGATCTGTTACAGTAATTGTTGGATAACATCTGCAGAAACAGAAGTTTTACATCAAGTGAATGTTTATAAAGCCAGGCCTAGAGCAACCATCTGCAGAAACATAAGTTTTACATCAGGTGAATGTGAGCAACGTGTCTTTTCTTGGGGGAATGGGTCCAGGGTTTTTAGTTGGTTTAAATGAAGTATAGGGGTTAAGGTTGTGGAAACATGACTAAATGATACTCGCTTTTGCAGCTCTTAAAATGTGAATGGTTGACTAGTCCAGCTGAGCCCACTCATAGCTAGTTTATTGTATTACTTTGTTGACTAGTCCAGCTGAGGCCACTAGTTTGTTGTATTACCTTGAACTTGTTGGTTTGTAGTTTTGTAGGATTATCCTTGCGATCATCTTTTTTTTATTTTCTTTGTTTACTTGTATTAATACCATTTTTTATTCAAAAAAGTTGTGTCTGCTGAGTATTGGTGTCATAAACATTTTCTATTAATTAACTTATATGTTTGCCAGTAATCCATGAAATACAGTATGCTTTTTGATAAGCCCCCAAAAATACTTTGTTCAAATCTCAGTATCACCTCTTCAAAACACTATGTCAGTAGTCTTCTGCCGTTACATGTACTAGTAGTTATTACGTAGAATCCTAAACAAAGTAATCATTCATTGCATTCACCAAGCATATAATGGTAGATATGTTAAGACATCTTGTGGGACATCACTCCATAAAACTGAACTCAAACAAGTTGGTTCTTGATCTATCATTTAAAGGATCATGCACAATCTCAAGTAGTAAAGACAAATACCACTATTTACAACCATGATGTTAAGACATCTTGTGGGACATCACTCCATAAAACAGAACTCAATCAAGCTGGTTCTTGATCTATCATTCAAAGGATTCATTGCGCATAGAAATTCTTTACTAAGATTTCAATAAAACACACAATTGGTGCAGCCTACTCAGGTTATACCAAACATTTTGATGCTATGGAGAGAAATAAACTCTTACTTTCTAAAACACAATGTTCAGAATGCGCAATTGCATAATCTTCTCAAACAAATACTTAGTCTCCTGTCAAAGACCATTAGTCCGCGCAACCTCCTTAGAGAATAAAAAAATATCCAGCTCATGTCAAGGTTAGATAAGATTACCCTCTCACACAAGGTTAGATTTGCTCTGAAATCCTTCTTTTGCATACGTTAGGTACCAGCTGGTGATATTCATTCATACCATAATATTCCAGATTAGGTCAGTGGCTTGACCTTAAACTCCACTCTGGACAACAACAACTTCCTTGGCTAAAGGAGTAAAATACACTTTGAGATGATGTTCCAACATTAGATCTGACTTTGGTCTCAAGCACATAGATTTCACCATTAACTATGGTCTGAAAACACCATAGTAATCCATAAATCTTGCAAGGAATACAAGATGATCAACCATCAGTAGTTGATCAATTTATGCACACCTTAAAAATCTTTTTCTCACACAATGTTCAGATCTCCCGTCTAACTTTGAAGTGTTAGACACCATTCTTGTGCACCTAAAGAGGATATTATCTCTAACAGGTATCTGGAGCAGACTTCAACTATAATGACATTTACTGGTCATCATGAAATAGACTGTTCAAAAAAAGTTTACTTCAATACCCAAAGATTCCCTTCAATCCTTGTAAAACATCTGTTCCATTATGTGAGGACACCATATAACTGAAACTTAGCAGAGAGAGGAACTTCCCATAGATACCAGTGAACCATAATCATTTGGTCCCAAAAATAATTACTCCTTGCTTCAAACAACTGAAATGCTGATCTAGGTGAATTAGATGACATTTCAATAGTGCAAACACCAATCAACCATAGAATTTCGGTTGACACAACTCCAATGCAGACAATCCTTGAAAGACTTTTCCACAACAAGAGAACAAGAGTTCCATGTTCTCATAGAATTGATAAGAGTACCAATTTAGAGTAAACAACATCCATCTTATTATGAAAAGTATCATCAAACATATTGAAAAAATTTCTCAATACACAAATGTCAAGATATTATGTCTGACATTTCTTTAAGATCTTCCAACTTTAGATTAAAGACCCCCTTATTAACTGCTAAGAATTCCTTGAGAATTATACAATATCTGCACACTAACTCACTTAGATAAAAATAAACTGACCTAATGAGTGTCTAATATGTTAATCGTGTCTAGACCAACATATTTTAGCACAAATGCCTCATCTTCTAGATCAGTAGTAGGTTCCAAACATAAGTGATTTAAAACACAATTGTTTAGCAGCCAAGCATCTGCTCTGTCCTACCTTTATCCAACAAGATTCTGCACAATCCGTTGGCTTAATGTTCCAACATAAGGTAGGACATCGGTTCCCTTCATAAGGAACACATTAAGAGATCCTTTATCAAAGTCTGGAGATTGGCATTTCAGGATTGAAAGCAAAAGTAAATTTCCTCTACTAGATCTCTTTTCAACAAAATCATATAAGAGTGTCTTTATGAGTGAATTTTAGATAAACCTCAAGTATCTTTGGCAACTCTAGCAAGCTAGTCGAACCTCTCCTCAAGCATCACCACACCATGGGATACATCTTAAGAGGAGAAAAATGTGTTACATCCTCAACACACCAAACCACCAGGAGTTTTCCATCAGATATATATGAAACATAATACAAACCAGAAAACTCCACACCATCATTCAGGAAAAAACATAAACCCTTGCACAAACACATCATACTCCTGGTGCAATAGGTTAACATGGATTTGAAAATAAATTAAACCCTAAACACATTAGCTTGCCACCAAAGACACATGCTTGAAAACAACACAGAATGTCCAATACACACCCTGTCATGAACAATTCATCCTCCAATTTTAAGGATCGTTCAAACAACAATATGAAATCTCAATATTCAAATAGATTTTCAGTAGAATTCTTCTACCTTGCACAAAAGTCAGAAAGTATCTCTCTTGGATGTCATCTAGAAACAAACATGATGCCTGCTCTGATACCAATTGAAAGTCTGGTATGATAGAGCTCATATGTCCTATGAGGATGTCGAGACATCTTATCCCACATAACAAACAAGCAAGGTATAATAATATAAAAATAGTACTGAAAAACATAAACAACACACCAGAATTGTTAACCCAGTTCAGAGCAACTCTCCTACTCTAGGGGTATTACCAAGCCAGGAACAAATCTACTATGATAGTATCAATTCGAAGCTAAACTCCTCCGTTTATAACTTCTCACTTAATCACTACCCTTCTTAGATTTCTATCTAAGAACCTATATATGAGGCCCTCCTCAATCCCTCTTTAATCACAAACATCGATTGGATCAACACAATTCTGAACAAACAGGAAGACACACTTGACACACTTCCATGACAATCTCTAGCTAAGACTCTTGACTACGACCACAACTCGGAGTTTCTTCAAAGCTTCCTCCAAGAACAATACTCAACTCATTACCTACAGGTTTTTGAGTGAGAACACAGTGACCATCTCACAACCCAAGTGGTTCACTTACACCAACTCTCCTAAAGAGCGGTAAAAAGACAAAGCCCTAGACTTATACATCTTGAACTCATGTCATTCCTAGGTCACAAACACTTATATTCGTAACCTATACCCAACTAGATTTGGGCCTTCAAAATACAACATATCAGCTGTAACAACCAGCAGTAACTTCTGCTACAAACAAGGTCTTCAATCAAATCTTCCTAAATTATCTCCAAATTTAGAAACTGTATATTCTTCAATATTCTTCTAGACCTTTAAATCAGCGCCACATAGGATTGCATAATATTCCTAAAATATTCTACATCAGTTAAATCATAAAAAAAATATAACTGTCCACTCCAGTTCATGCGTGATGTCGTATGTTCCTTCATAGGATATCTTATTCGACATGTTGTTCCAGATGTTGAAACACTTCAACTCAACATGTCATAACATAAGATATGACTTCTTGCTCAACATATTCCTGTTAGTAAGTTAACCCATATTATCTAACATATTGTTGCTATATTTGTTTTATAAAAATTAATGCCAATCCTTAAAACTAAGGAACTTACACTATGTTCGCCACTTTGGCCTGCCAGTTTGTTTGTGGGTAGTCGACATACGTGAAGTGTTATTAGGTGCCTAGTTTGGCGACAAACAACTGACAAGTTTTGTCATTGAATTGTTCCCCTTTGTCTGTGACAAGTTCTTGTGGTATGTCGAATCAGATAAGCATGTTTCTCTTTTAGAAACAACATATATCATGTACCGTGATTTAGGCAAGGGCCTCTAACTCTACCCACTTCGTGAAGTAACAGAAGATGACTATCACATATTTGTTGTGGTTCAACCCTATGGTAAATGGCCCGAGGATGTCCATTCTTCACCAGGAGAAAATCCACAGGGAAGAGAGATTTTTAAGCTCGTCGGGAGGTGCCAAGTGCATGTCTCCATGATGTTGGCATTGATCGCATTTCTTGATGTGCTCTTTGGCATCGTGTTGCATGGTGGGCCAGTAGTAACTGCTCACAGGGCCTTCCGAGCGAGGGATCTTCCTACGAGATGTTGGAAGTTGATTCCTTCATGGATTTCACGGAGGACACCAGCAACATTGGATTCCTCAATACACTTAAGAAGAGGGATGAAGAATCCCAGTCTGTACAACTTGTCTTTGACTAGGACGTAGGTGCACACTCTGCGCTTGATCATGCTAGCCTTTTTCAGGTCGGGGGAACTTCCCCCATTGCGAGGCAGTTATACATCAGGGTCATCCAACAATTGTTATCGGCAATGGCGTTTACGTCAAGAGTTGCACATGGTTTTTTGATACTTTAGTGAAAGTATCTTCTGCATAATGGACTTATTTCTACCTTTCTTAATTGTACTCGTGAGTTTTGGCAAGATGTTTGCGCGGGTGTTGTGCTCGCGAGGGACATGTTTCACTTCATCGAATGCGAAATTTGTTATCCTCTCTCGAACCAAAGTCAGGCGAGATTGTCGTTCTTGGTTTGATATTTCCTCTGTACCTGGGAAGCTACGAGTTGAGAATTATGATGCGGTGGGAGAACTGACTTGAGGTTTTGCGTTTTGTCATAAATGTCGCGATTTAGCAAGAGTCGCCACCGACTTTTATTTTATCCAAAAGGAAAGGTAAAAAAGCACAGAAAAGACCTTTGAGATGTTTTCTTGAGTTCGTGGGGTAGATTATGAAAAGGGAAGGTGCTAGCATCCTT